GGCGATAAGTAACTTTTCCACCACACAGATTACGGGTTCACCACTATCTCCTTCCACTTCTTCACAAGTTTCGTCAGCCTCCAGCTCGTGTTCCTCCAATTCCCCCTCGTCTTCCCCTTCGATAAACTGCGCTTGATGTCGAGAGGGACATTCATTAGATTTATGCCCCGGTTGTAAACATCTAAAACACTTAATGGTGGATGGCTTGGCATACGGATTTTCTCTACTCCCCGTACCACGCGTTCGAAGAGGTAACTTGTCTTCTACAGCCAATTTTCCCTCTGTGGCCTTCATTTGATTCGAACTAGCAACGAGATCCTTTGTTTGGTTACCGCCAGTTTTAACGATTCCCGGATTAGCCTCTCCAAAAGCCCGGCGAACCGCAATTGATTTGTAGGATCTCTGCAATTGGACCTCAGCCTTTAGGGCAAAATTTACTGCCTGGGAAAGTGTCCACACCGAATTGAGCTCCAATTTGTCTCGAATTCCTTCCTTTAGACCACCGGTGTAGCGTGCGACGAGCTGATTTTCAGATTCCAACAGATTATTACGGGCGCTGAGCCGATAAAACTCCTCCGTATACTCGCTGACCGAGCGGTTACCCTGCTTACAATGTTGATATTGAATGTACAACAGCTGCTCAAAATCTGTAGGTAGAAAATGTTGCCTCATCAACTGCTTCATACGACTCCAGCTCCGCACAGCTCCTCTTCCTTCACGCCGTCGGCTTTGGAGTATCTGCATCCACCAGGCGCTCGCTCCCCCTTTGAGACGGCATGCGACGTACTTCACTTGTTTGGCCGGCGGAATCTCCATGTACTCAAAAAAATTTTCGACCGCCGCTTCCCAATCTAGATAGTCTTCGATATGGAGTCTTCCTTCAAAAAAAGGAATATCAAGTTTAATACGCATACCTTCGTATTCAGCTCTCATCGGACGCGGTCTTCTCATCCTCTCGGCTCTCGGCAGTGTGAAATCCTCCTCCGCATCCGATTGTTCTCCGTCTGAGATGGCTTCGAACTCCGAATCAGTAATTTCCGGACATATGGGAGGACCTCTTCTCGGAATGGTATCTCCCCTCAACGGTCTACGGGGAGCCGGTATGGTTGCCGGAATAGTCGGGTGAGCTACTGGATTGGTAGCCGCCCTTACTTGCCGCATTTCATCGCGCATTTCGTCCGCGAATCGTGCAAAGTTATTGATGAGCTCCTCCAATTGCTTGGACGTTTGCCTTTGCGTTTCCCACAACGCCTCCAAGCTCCGATCGCCGTCGGTCCTGGGTCGGCTGCTCTCCGCCATTGACGCCGGCACTAGCTCTGATACCAGATTTGATGCAGCGGCAACAATAGAAGAAGATTGAACCGAAGGGAAAAGGAAGCAATGGAACAGTAAAGTTCCTTGCAGCCGAAAATGATATTACTGAAATGTGAAAATTAGCTTCCTCCTACCCCCTGCTTCTACAGTTCATATAAGCTAAAATAAAGACAACCGAAATTAGCAAAACAGCTGAAAAGTGAGCTAGTCCTATGCATAACAGAAAAAGGGAATATTTAGATAATAAGGGGTAGTGGACGTCCTATGAGCTTCAGTGATCCGCCTGAGTAACGTAGCCTATTTGATGTCCGCATCAGCTTCTAATACTTTCACTCTACATTCCATTTTCATATCAAACTAATAAAAAAACATAAATATGGAATCAATTAAGTTTATAAAATATAAACAAATAATATATAATATAAATGTTGAATCAGTTTTATAAAACATAAATAAATAACATATGGTTTCTATCTTCAATTAGTGAACTCCGAAATCAAAATAAATATACATACTCATCATAATTGTGTACATAATATGAAGCAAATAAGCAATTACAGCCTCGCCCTTGCCTTCTCGCAGTTGCGCCCTCTCTCTCTCTCTCTCTCTCTCTCGCAAGCTTTCCCTTGCTACCACTTGTGCTCAGTCTCGCACCGACGCTAATGAAGAAATTCTCAACACTCGCATAATCACACCCTCGGGTAGCTTGTCATGTCAGATCTAAGTCTGAATTACTGACATCTTTGTCTAATTGGGTTGAATCAATTGAAGAAAGGTTAATTTTGGGTTGAATCCGAACCCAACCAAAAAATCTATTTTGACACCCTTAATTTTAAAAGTGTAAACAATGCGAGAAGAGCCTGCCATTTAATATATAGAAAGAAATTTCCTTTCACAAATATTTTTTATTTATAAGTTTTATCTTTCTATCTTACAAGTTTTGTTTGTTAGTGGAAGTTGTCATACTGTTTATTTTTTAGACTGTAATATTAATTTTTATTTGACAACTATTACTTTGTTTTACTTTTAAAAGTTATTTTCTACGATATATTTAAATTTTTATTTTCTCTATAATAACTTTACAAAACAGTAAAAAAATCAAAGTTTTGAAAACCGGTCCGGACAATGAACTAGCAGAAGAAGAGGTTCACGGTTCGACCGGTTCGGTAGAACCGAACAGAATGAACCAAGGTCGAATCGGATGATTAAGGGGTAGTGGACGTCCTATGAGCTTCAGTGATCCGCCTGAGTAACGTAGCCTATTTGATGTCCGCATCAGCTTCTAATACTTTCACTCTACATTCCATTTTCATATCAAACTAATCAAAGAAAATAAATATGGCATCAATTAAGTTTATAAAATATAAACAAATAATATATAATATAAATGTTGAATCAGTTTTATAAAACATAAATAAATAACATATGGTTTCTATCTTCAATTAGTGAACTCCGAAATCAAAATAAATATACATACTCATCATAATTGTGTACATAATATGAAGCAAATAAGCAAAAAATTATAACAAGATTATTACACTTTACAAACTAATAAGAAAAAAAAAGACAACACATTCATAATACATATATAAAGTTAATAATATTTATTTTTCATAGTTCAATAGTTTTAAAAATTTCACAAAAAGGAAAATCAAATATCTCAAAATTTGCATAGTGAAAGTTATCCTCATAAGTTAAATTTTTTATGTCCCGCTTCAACAATATCTGCAGCAACAAATGCACCTAAATCATTGAAGTCAATTATATCATCTTCATCTCCTTCATTCTCTAGTTTACCTTCACCAACAAATTAAAAATATAAAATAAGAATTTATTTTTTATTTTATTTAAATGATATATTCATATTTCACCTAACTTATCAGTTGTAGGCCGATTGGATGCTATGTTTGCTTCTTCAACATCTGACATTGCATCATCTTGGTATATCTCAGTTTCCAATTCCTCTAGGTCAAAATTTGTCGATGATTCATCATCATGCACCAAGAAATTTATCATTTTAACACAAGTGTAGTCTAGAGGTTCATAGTTTTTTTTTTAAGTTGAAACATAAAGAATGAAACAATAATTTTAGTAACATTTGTAGATATATATAGTATGATATATTGACACATATATTATTATGTTATGATAAGATTATACCTTTTTTTTAAATTTAGATTATATCAAACATATGCTAGGCCGTTCAATCGTTGATGTTCCAAATGATTGCGTCTCTTTGAGTGAATTTATTCAAAAACACTCCAATTTTTTTCAATAAAATGATTCCACGCAATGTCTACTTTCTCGTGTACACTACAACTAGAAGATGCACTCTGAGTTCCAGGTGCTTTCATTCTCATGTGATCAACTAAAGTAAATACAATCATTAAGTGTTCCATCTAAAAATAAAATATGAATGAAAGTAAGTGATTGTATTGGATGAATAAAATAAGTAAATACAATCTATTTAAAGGAAAATAGAAGACGAACTAAAAAAAAATATGAATCCAACTTAATTTTATGAAGTTCACATATTCTCAAGTGATTGTCTAAATAATAAAGCTTATTTTATCAAATGCCAATAATAAAGCTTATTTTATCATTATTTATGTTATTATGTAATTCTTTTAACTCCGCATGAGTTTTAAAAAATGCTCAATTATGAATTATATAAGGTTCAAACATAGTTCGAAGTATAATGGGCTATAGTTTGAATAATGCTATAATCATATTAAAAAAAAGGTTTAAACTAGGTTTGAATAAGTTTTGAACTATGTTCAAATAATATTAAAGAATTGATATGATAACATTGCACTTATGCTCCATATAATTACAATAACAAAATAGGAATGGATTCTTACAATGAATAATATAATGAATATTTCAATGAAATACATTAACCGCAAAAAAAAAAAAAAAATCAATTATAGTTACAACTCTAATAGAGTAAACATTTATATTTTAAGAATTTAATCATTTTTATAATAATATCATTCAATCTTCACAAGGATCTGAGTTATTGAATAATAAATAAACACATAATTTATTTCTAAAGAATAGTATTGATAGTGTGTAACTTTAAGAACATTTTCTATGAAATTAAATACAGAATTTGATGTATTATACACAACCCACATTACCCACTTGAAAGGTAAGGTTTTTTTTCCTTCATCATCAGCTAGATGAAATACAATTGGTAGATTTTGTATGGAATTTAGAAAATAAACATGCAGCCATCATACTAAAATGCATTTTATGTTCAAATTTTTTGTCACGCATCCTAAATGAGCTCCATAAATGATTTTCACTATAGAAGGAGTTGACTTTTTTTTTGTTGGACAACTTTTAGCTGCAATAGATAAATCAAAAATCAACATTCAATGATATATGAGTTTTTTCTGAAGTGATAAAACTTAGTGATTTGGGCTATGATATATGAGTTTTCTTTTTGTCCAAAAAATAGAACAAGCATAAATAAAATAGAGAAATTAGGAGAAAGAATGTGAGCAACAATTGATAAGATTTGGAGAGGGAATGCAAGCATAAATGTGTAAATAATTACTCAAAAAAAGAGAAATTAAAGAACTTGTGTCGGGAGCTAGCTAGTCCGAGCTCGATGGGTTGGGTCGGCGGCCAAAGGTGACTTCTTCCCCAACTTAACTAGAATGGTCACCGTGGAGTCGCGAATGGCATGCGCCGGGGGCTGGGAGGTCAGAGGAGGCCTTCTAGATGGACCGATGGAGGACTGGATGAGTCGTGTATGGCGTATGTTAAGACAGACAAGCAAGTAATATCGAAGTACTGCAATGTTCATAAGCCAGTTGATCATAGATAAATGGCTTATATTAGTGATTTTAAGAACCATCTGGTTCTTCTAAGACCACCCGTTCTTCTAAAACCACCTGGTTATGCAGTTTCTTGAAAACCAAGTTCTTGACCGGTTTTTCCCCAGTTTTTAGCCTAGCAGGTTATTTTAGCTAACCAAACAACCCGCCAGACCGATTCACAGTTGAATCGGTCGAACCAGCCAGTTCGGGCCCATTTTAAAAACCTTGAAAAAAACTATCTAATATGAAACCTAATATAAATTACTCTTTTTTATCTTGATTATTATCCATTAGAATTGAAAAAAAAAAAACTCTACTTATTCTATATAGCATATTCTCATTAATGGATAATTTATCTTATGTCCTAAAATAAAATTTTATAATATTATCATTTTTTCTTGTAATAATAACAAGTAATTTCTTGGGATAGATGCAAGTATATCATAACTCAACTAACTTGATCTGTTGGTTGGGAGCTTTGACTATCAATCAAGAGATTTTGGGTTCGAAGCTTGCATATGTGATATGTTTGTGAATTTGTCATAATTGACCTAAATGTATCAAATAATAATAATAAAAAAATCATGCATTAGATGATATGCTCATACTTGATCAAAGCATAGAGCCCAATCCGACAGCCAGCTCCTTTCAACAATTAAATTTGGATTTATAGGGATGCAACTAATTAATAACTTCATGTTTTGTATGGGGCTATTTTTTTACTACTTTTTAAAGCAGCTTTCTAGTTAAAAAAAAAATTAATATTTGTACTAAAAGCACTTTAAGAAGCAATAAAAAATTTGTCACAAATCAAACCTGAGTCTCTCGCACTACCAACTAAGGCCTCATTTGGCTGGCCAACTTAATTGCAAATGTTTATTTTAAAGTGGTGGTGAACCTGAAGTTTTTAGACAAAACTTTTTATTTAATGGAGTTTTTACATAATGTTGTTTGGCAAAATAGCTTTTTGTATGCTTATTCAAACATAAAGATAGATAATCAATATTTGGTTTGATTATCTGTTTTAAATTTTTTATTATAAATGACAAAATTATCCGTATATTAAACTGAGATGTACTTAATTTTTTTTATAATTTAAATAAATGAAAATATACATAAAATTTTTACAAACGGTTATTTTATTATCATAATTTTCGAAATAAACCGAATTAAATAAGAATACATTTAAAATGAATATATTGTTTAATTCAAACTGTTTAAATTTATTTTATATTTATATTTATATTTCTCTTTTCCAACATAGATTTGAGAAGGCCATTCATTACATAAATTAATCTTTAACAATTTAGGCATTGAGTTTGTTGTGTCCTGAAGTATTCACGGTGGTAGAGTAATATAAAATTTAGCGTCTCAGCATTGTACGAAGATCTAGCATGCATACAGATAAAAAGAGAGTGTTCGGCATTCACAAGAGACACCAAGATGTTTATGTGGAAAACCCCTGAAAAGGGGAAAAAACACGGAGCCTAGCCCAGTTTGAATGAATCCACTATTGTTTGCAGTCGATTACAATTGAGGCTCTTCCTTAAGGGAAATGCCTTGGCTTGATGTACATCATATAAATTGCATTACATGGTGGGAATACAAAGAGTCACTTTTGATGTATTCACTTGGCCGAATGGACCATTGTAGGTGGGCGACAGAGGTCGGAATGACTGTAGTCTGTGGGCGACGTAGGTCAGAAGGATCGTAGTCGGTTCTGACCTACATCGCCGGGCGACCGAGGTCATAATGACAGCTTACCTTTTATATATAATATGTTGCGTCCTTCAATATTCATGGCGGTAGAAAAATATAAAATTTAACATCTTACCTTTGCACGACGATCCAACACACAATGAGATAAAAAGTGAGGGTGAAATATTTATAAGAGAAAACAATTTTTTTTTTGCGGAAAACTATGAATAAGGGAAAAACCACGGAGCCTGACCCAGTTTGAATGAATCCACTATTCTTTGCAGTCGAGTACAAATGAGGCCCTTCCTTGTGGGAAGCCCTTGGCTCGATATAATAAATATAGATCATATAGACTGTGTTACAAGAATTATTATTGATACATCTGTTTGGTTGATAGAACTATAGTTGGCAGGCGACGGAGGTCGGAAAGACTGTAGTCTGGTGACGGTGGTAGGAGGGATCGTAGTCAGTGGGCGATAGTGGTAAAAAAAGATCGTTGTCTGACGATGAAGGTCGAAAGGACCACAATCTGGCTATAGAGGTTAGAAGGACCGTAGTCGGTAGGCAAAAGTGGCTAGAAAGATTATTGTCTGATAATAGATGTCAGAAGGACAGTAGTCGGCAGGCGACAGTAGTAAAAAAAATAGTTGTTTGGTGAATGAGATCATAAAGATCGTTGTCGGTTAGCGACGGAGATCGGATATTCGACGATGGGTGGAAGTTCGGCATCGGGTAGAAGTTCGACGAATGTTCGGCGACAGGCAGAAGTCTTACGACGGGCATAAGTACGACGTTGAGTAGAAATTCGGCGATGGGCATAAGTTTGGTGCCGGGTACGCTGCCTGGTGGAAGTCTGGCAGTGGTCGAGGAAGAGTTTGGTGGCAAGAGAAGTCTCTTCTGTTTCTTCCTTCTCTTCTTGTTGGGGTCTCCTTCTTCCCATTTTGGGGGTCCCTTTCTATGAAAAATGAGGGATCTTTTTATAGTTTTCTGAGAGTAGCATGACCAAAAAATAGGAGGAAGATTAGGGGTGAATTGGTAGTTGTTTGAATGGACGGCCGATGTTGATTCCCTTGATCATTGACCATTTATTAGACATTTGAATGTCTTAATGATATTAGAATTCAACGATTTTGGGCTCGTTGAATTCATCTTCTCGAGACGCTCGATTCGCCTAAAAGCATGTCAGGTTTGGAGACTGTTTGGTCATCCAAATTATGGTTTGAACTTTCCAAATGTGCTTCGGGTCTTTAATTTGGACCCATTTGAGCTCAGATTGGGTCAAATTTTGTGTCGTTGGGTTCGTATTTCCGAGACATTTAGTTCGACTATAAGTTTGTTGAAATTCGAATTTAGATGTCTCCGATTTAATTTTTTAAGTTTCCAACTTGATTTTGCATGGAGATTCGTGCCCAATCATGATAATATACATACATACATATATATATATACATACATATGTATACATATATGTATATTAGGATACTAATGTAAAATTACTAAATAGATAGTTATATTTTGTTAGATAATCTTTTCTTGTTCTATAATAATTTGGATTTTCAAATAACAAATAAAATACAATCAGAAACAAATTGGTATACTTAATTTGTAGTCCGGTGGTCATGAGCTGATTAGGTACAAATAATGTATTTGAGTTATCTAATTTTAGAAAAAAATCTAAATATAGGGTTATATATGAATAGAACAAACGGGGCATATTAGCCCCAAATAGCTAGTTGATTTTATTTTAGGATAACAGTCTTTTGTTATTTTAAGGCTTTAAAAACGGACAACCATACAAGATTCCTATAAACGCATTATGCACAATAAGCCAAGCCTATAAATACCCTCCTACTCCTTATTCCTTCAAATTCTCAAAACTATTCTCATGGCAACTTCTTCTTCCATTCTCTGTTGTTATACTCTTCTCATTATCTTCTTCTTTTTTCTTCTAATAGATCTAATAGAGAAGAATTCTCTAGTATCAGTGCGATGGCGTGCCAGAGAATACCATCTCATTGATGTTGAGTCATTGCTGCCAAACAACTCCGCTGGCATCAACCCACTTGGCAGCTCTCTTTCAGCAACAGTTCCAATAGAAGAAGGCATTTTTTTTGGTACCCACAAATTTATCGTCACCATATACCTAGGCACCCCTCCCTTGCCATACTCACTTGTTTTTGACACCGGCAGCGATGTCACTTGGATCCAATGTATACCCTGCGATAAGTGTTATCCCCAAAATGACCCAATATATAACCCTTTCGAGTCCTCTACCTATGCATCCATCCGCTGCTACAACGACTATTGTAGCCAACTAAATACATATGATTGCTCCAGGACCGACAATTGTCTCTACGAGGTACAATACCGCGATGGTTCTTACACTAAAGGCTACCTCGTTAAAGACACCTTACAATTCTCCTATGATATTATAAAGAATTTCCGTTATGGCTGCGGACAAAACAATAGCCTCAGCGTACCGAAGGTAGATGGGATATTAGGCTTCGGCCGGGGGCCAGTTTCAATTATTTCCCAGACAGCTCAATCATATGACTTGATATTCTCATATTGTCTACCATCAAAGTCAGGCATAATTGGATATCTTACACTAGGGAGTGATGATGCCATTCATGTGCAATATACACCGATGATAACCAGCGAAATGATGCCATCCTTCTACTTCGTCAAGCTAATTTCTATTTCTGTTGGGGGTGATTGGTCGAAAAACTCCCCTAGAACCATGTTGGCCCCTGGCAGAAAAGCCATGTTGGACTCTAGCAGAATGATTAGCCGACTGCCGCCCATTACCTACCATGGCATCCGCAGCACTTTCCGTAAATACATGGCCAATTACCCGAGGGCGCCGTCATGGGGCATACTTGACACATGCTATAACTTTACTAACTACCCAAGCATGAACGTGAAGGTGCCGCAGATTACGTTTGAATTTGATGGCGGGGTTATTATTAAATTAGATATCTCAGGGATACTTCTCGGGACCACTAAATCTAAACAATGCTTAGCCTTCGCTGCCAATAAATATGCTAGTGATAAGGTAATTATTGGTAATGTGCAGTTACGCACATTCAATATAGTGCATGATATAAAAAACTTGAGAATTGGCTTTGGGGCTGGTGGTTGTAATTAGAATGAGTATGTATATGAAAATGAATGGGAAATTAAGAGAAAAAACTCAAAATTTCTAGTTAGTCTTGTTTCCTTTCTAATTAAGTCACGTTTCTTTTTATTTATCATTCCTTAATTATTTTCATGCTAATGAGACTAAAAAACGTTAAGAAAGAACTTTTTCGATTCCATTGAACTAATAAAATTTCGTTCATTCACATATGATAGAAATACCACCTATCGAACGTTTTGTTATCATTTTGAATAGAATTTGATAAAAAAAAATTGTAACCAAATTTAGTATAAATATTATATTAGCATAAATAAAAATGTAAACTCAATACACTAAAAATTCACTCCTTTTGATTGACCGATAAATATACACTAACTTGCGATAAGATATTCTAATAGAATAAAGAAATTTTATGGCATCTTAGCTTAATAAACAAAAGATATTTAAAATAGGGGTGTCAATTAATGATGACACGAAAATTCGACCCGAACCTCCAAGAAAATTCGGGTTTGGGTCAGCTAGATTTACAAACATTTTAGATTTAGATCCTAATTCTAAACAATTTGACAAATTGGGTCTATTCGGGTCAACTAACCCGAATCTACCCGAGTTCGACCTAGTATATATCCACCCTCTCAGACCACACATTAAAAGCAACCTGCATCTATGTCACTCACCTCCCTTGCCTGCATCTTGCTCACTGCCTCACAATAATGCTTTCTCAAGTGAGATTGCTCGCTTACAGCCTCGAGCTCGCCTTCTCGCGATTTTTCTCTCTCGCAGGCTTTCCCTTATGCTAACCCCTGCGCTCAGCCTCGAACCAACGCTTACGCAGAAATTCTCAACACTCGCGTAATCACACCCTCGGATAGCATGTCATGTTAGATCTGAGTCTTAATTTCTGACATCTTTGTCTAATTGTGTTGAATCTATTGAAGGCAGGTTAATTTTGGGTTGAATCCGAACCCAACCCGAAAATCTATTTTGACCCTCTTAATTTTAAAAGTGTAAACAATGCTAGAAGAACATGCCATTTAAAATATGGAAAGAAATTTCCCTTCACAAATTTGTTCTATTTGTAAGTTTTATCTTTCTATCTTATAGGTTTTGTTTGTTAGTGGAAGTTGTCTTTCTGTTTTATTTTTTAGACTGTAATACTAATTTTTATTTGACAACTATTACTTTGTTGTTTTATTTAAAAAAAAAATTGTTCTTAAAAGTTAATTTCTACAACAACTTTAAAATTTTATTTTCTCTATAATAATTTTGCAAAACAGTAAAAAAAATCAAGGTTTTGAAAATCATACCAGACAATGAATTGACAGAAGGTGAGGTTCATGGTTCGACCGGTTTAGTCGAACCGAACCGGTTGAACCGGGGTCAAACTGGATGATGTAATAAATAATAATATTATTAAAAATTATAAAATAAATGATAAATTTTCCTCTAATACCTTCACTCAACATTCAATTTTCATATCAAACTAATGAAAGAACATAAATATGGCATCAATTATGTTTATAAAACATAAACAAATAGCATATAATATAAATGTGGTATCAATTAAGTTTATAAAACATAAATAAATAACAGATAATTTCTATCTTCAATTAGTGAAACTCTGAAATCAAAATAAATATACATACTCATCATAATTGTGTACATAATATGAAGTAAATAAGCAAAATATTAAAACAAAATTATTACACTTTAAACTAACTGATAAGAAAAAAAGACAACCATAATCATACATATATAAAGTTAATAAAATTTCTCTTTCATTGTTCAATAGTTTTAATAATTTCACAAAAAGAAAAATCAAATATCTCCAAATTTGCATCGTGAAAGTTATCCTTATAAGTTGAGTTTTCATATCATGCTTCAACAATATCTGTGAAAGTTATCCTTATAAGTTGAGTTTTCATATCCTGCTTCAACAATATTTGCAGCAATAAATACACCTAAATCATTGATGTCAGTTATATCATCTTCATCTCCTTCATTCTCAAGTTTACCTTCACCAACAAATTAAAAATATTAAATAAGAATTTATATTTTATTTTTTTTAATGATATATTCATATTTCACCTAACTTATCAGGTGTATGTCGAGTGGATGCTATGTTTGCTTCTTCAATGACTGACATTGCATCATTTTGGTATATCTCTTCCAATTCCTCTAAATCAAAATTTATCGATGATTCATCATCAAGCCCACATAAATCTATCATTTTAATACAAGTGTAGTCTAGACGATCATAGCTTCTTTTTTTTTTAAGTTGAAACATAAATAATGAAACAATAATTTTAGTAACATTTGTAGATACATATAATATGATACATTGACATATATATTATTATATCATGATAAGATTATACCTATTTTTAAAATTTAAATTATGTGATAACTTACTGATATACTTAAGTTGAAGGGCCAAGAACATCAAATATGAATGTAGTTGTGCTTGTCCCAATAGGCTCTCTAGGGAGAACTACTTCAGCCTCGACATATACTGTAACATTATGCATTCTAGCCTCCAACAAAATATACTCACAAATCTCATCATCGATCACATGGGTGGCAGCATATCCACCATTATTATGCATTCGACATACTAGATTTAATGTCTGTGTCTATGGATTTTGTTGTAACACATGAATTATTTGTAGTTTTAGTTGGGTCAACAATAGGGGATTTTTAGATAGGAGCATGTAAATAGTGACAATTAACAAAAGGAGCATATTTAACTAAAAATTAAGAAGGAGCAAATACGCTCAATAGATAAGCATATTGACTAGGGAGAGGAGTGAGGAGAGAGGGAGTGAAAGAGTGGGTGGGAAGAGAGGAAAGTTGGGCCTGAGTATGAATTTCTGACATCTTTATCTAATTCGATTGAATCAGTTGAAGGCAAGTTAATTCGGTTGAATCCAAACCTAACCCAAAAATCTATTTTGACACCCCTAATTTTAAAAGTGTAAACAATGCGAGAAGTATATGCCTTTTAAAATATGGAAAGAATTTTCCCTTCACAAATTTGGTCTATTTGTAAGTTTTATCTTCTTATAGGTTTTGTTATATATTTAATGGAAGTTGTACAACTCCTTTTTTTTCACACTATAATAAAAAAAAATTATTTGACAATTATTAATTTATTATTTTAAAAAGAAAATTGTACTTAAAAAGTTATATTCTACAACAACTTTAAAATTTTATTTCTCTATAATAGCTTTACAAAGCAATAAATGTTGACATCATTATTCGAGGTCAATTTTCTTCGGAATCAACTCTAGCACCTAGGTCTTCGTAGCCTAGTATAGACGTTGTTCCTTTAGGACTCCCCTTAAGTGGATACCTAGTGATGTTGCGTCGACTCAACTTGATAACCGACCTAAATCAAAATCAATTCAATTCAATTGATATCTAACACAAATGAACTCAATATTGAGTCAAAACCCACTCGATGCATGAACCCTAGGAGTCTGTGACCTCTCTGCAGTTGGATGGGTTCGATTACGACTTGTCCAACAACCCAAATTCACAGCCACCCCCTATATATATATATATATATATATTAGGAGACTAATGTAAAATTATTAAATAGGTAGTTATATTTTGTTAGATAATCTTTTCTTATTCTATAATAATTTGGATTTTCAATGAACAATTAAAATACAATCAGAAATAGTTGGTATACTTAATTAGTAGTCCAGTGGTTATGAACTAATTAGGTAGAAATAATGTATATGAGTTATCTTATTTTAGAAAAAATCTAAATATAGGGATATATATGAATAGGACAAACGGGGCATATTGGCCCCAAATAGCTAGTTGATTTTATTTTAGGATAACAATCTTTTGTTATTTTAAGGCATTAAAAACGGACAACAATACAAGATTCCTATAAACGCATTATGCACAATAAGCCACGCCTATAAATACCCTCCTGCTCCTTATTCCTTCAAGTTCTCAAAAAGTATAGCTTCGCTTTGAATTCTATTCTCATGGCAACTTCTTCTTCCATTCTCTGTTGTTATACTCTTTTCATTATCTTCTTCTTTTTTCTTCTAATTCTTCACATGCTTCTAATAGAGAAGAATTCTCTAGTATCAGTGCGATGGCTTACCGGAGAATACCATCTCAACCCACTTGGCAGCTCTGTTTCAGCAACAGTTCCAATAGAAGAAGGCGTTTTTTTTGGTACCCACAAATTTATCGTCACCATATACCTAGGCAGCCCTCCCTCCCCATACTCACTTGTTTTTGACACCGGCAGCGATGTCACTTGGATGCAATGTATACCCTGCGAGAAGTGTTATCCCCAAAAAGACCCAATATATAACCCTTTCGAGTCCTCCACCTATGCATCCATCCGCTGCCACTCCGACTATTGTAGCCAACTAAATACATATGATTGCTCCTGGACCGACAATTGTCTCTATGAGGTACAATACCGCGATGGTTCTTACACTAAAGGCTACCTCGTTCAAGACACCTTACAATTCTCCTATGATATTATAAAGAATTTTCGTTATGGCTGCGGACAAAACAACAGCTTCAGCGTACCGAAGGTAGATGGGATATTAGGCTTCGGCCGGGGTCCTCTTTCAATTATTTCCCAGACAGCTCAATCATATGACTTGGTATTCTCATATTGTCTACCATCAAAGCCAGGCATAATTGGATATCTTTCACTAGGGAGTGATGTAGGGATTGATGCCATTCATGTGCAATATACACCGATGATAACCAACGAAATGATGCCATCCTTCTACTTCGTCAAGCTAATTTCTATTACTGTTGGGGGTGATTTGTCTGCCCATTCACCTACAGTGTTCAAATCCCCTAGAACCATGTTGGCCTCCGGCAAAAAAGCCATGTTGGACTCTGGCACAGTGATTAGCCGACTGCCGCCCATTACCTACTATGGCATCCGCAACACTTTCCGAAAATACATGGCCAATTACCCGAGGGCGCCTTCATGGGGCATACTTGACACATGCTATAACTTTACTAACTACCAAGACGTGAACGTGAAGGTGCCGCGGATTACGTTTGAATTTGATGGCGGGGTTATTATTAAATTAGATATCTCAGGGATACTTCTCGGGACCACTAAATCTAAACAATGCTTAGCCTTCGCTGCCAATAAATATGCTAGTGATAAGGTGATTATTGGTAATGTGCAGTTACGCACATTCAATATAGTGCATGATATAAAAAACTTGAGAATTGGCTTTGGGGCTGATGGTTGTAGTTAGAATGAATATGTATATGAAAATGAATTGAAAATTAAGAGAAAAATCTCAAAATTTCTAGTTAGACTTGTTTCCTTTCTAATTAAATCTTAACCAAATAATAAGATTGTTGCGTGTTAGAAAATACGCGGCGGTAGAGTTTGTAAGTTCGCGTCCGAGCGTTGCACGTAAGTTTAACACACAAACAGAAAAAAGGAGTGAACACCAAGAGTTTTTACTTGGAAAATCCAAAAATGGGAAAAACCACGGGGCCTCGCCCAGTTGCAAATTTCCACTAGTGTTTTCGTAGATTACAAATGGCGGATTTCGTCCCACAAGTCGGGATAATCCAAATACAACTTGTTTTTTTTCACGAAATTCACAAAATCCTGCGAATTCCCTGTGTTTCCTGAAAATCCGGCAGAGCTCCAGCGTCTTCAGGCGGCAGGAAAAACTCCGACGGCGGTGGTCGAGGAGGTGAGGAATCTCCTATTCCCCTTTCTCCTTCTCCTTCTCCTTCTCTTCTTCTTGAGTACAGCACGAGACAGCACTAATCTTTTTGATATTGTTTAAATTTTTACAGAAAGAATTTAGGTGGTTGCCTGAGTACAGCACGAGGATCAGATCAAATTTTGAGAGGAGAGGAGCGACCCGTCTCAGAGACATGTTCACGGACATTAGAAAGTCCGGGCAGAGGCCTAATTGGATTGGAGAGGGCGTTTGGGCAGATTTGAGTAGTGCTTGGGCTACCCCGGAGTTTATAAAAATGAGAGAGCAGAATAAACAGAACAGAGCCTCTGACTGCGGCGGTTTAGGAAGCTCTCTTCATACTGGTGGATCTGTACCTCATACAGAACATAGGCGGCGACTGGTAAGTGTTTTGAATTGGTTTATTACATATATTTATGCTAGTATAACTAAGCATCAAATTTTCAAAAAGAGCACCTGGGTCGGGAGCCAACACCATTAGAGCTGCATACAAGAACTCATCAACATCAAGCTGACCAGCAGTGGGTTGATGAGAAATCTAAGAAGGCTCATGTGAGTAAAATTTATTGAAGTTTTAGAATAAAAATTTATTTTAATAAAACTATTTGTAACTTGCAGGATGATTTCTTACGAGTTAGAGAAAGTCGGCAGTCCACTGGCGAGGGATCATCTTCTGGATCGGCCCATATTTCTGAGTATCAGACATGGTCAGAAGTTGTTGGTGGAAGACAGAGGGGGAGGGTATATGGCATGGGTTCACAAGCTTTTGCTATTGAGGGCAGTTCATACACCTCTGCATTCCATGATCCAAGTGGAGCTGAAGAATCTGTAAGTGAGAGGGTTGCAGCACTTACTAGAGAGATTGAAGAGATGAAAAGGGTTCAAGCTAGAGAGATTGAAGAAATGAGGAAGGCTCAGAATGAAATGCAAGCAGAGTTGCAATCCTACAGAGCTGGAAAACAAAGGAAGAAGGACCAACAGGAGCAGCCATCTGCAGACAGTGAGGATACCGATGATGATTAGATGTTTATTATGTTTGATGAATACATTAATTAGAACTTGTGAACTTCTGAACTTGTGATTGTAACATTATCATGAACTATCTTGTGAATTTGTGATTGTAATGTTATGATGAATTTTTTATTTTGTTTGTATTTTCTGGCTGTGATGAATATAGTGGCGTGTTGCCCAACACATATTGCTTTTTCTGCAGGTTTAGACTTTAGGGTGAACCTCCCTCAAATAGAGGGGATGCTATCAATTTTTTTTTCAGGTGCTACAGGTTTCCGGCGGTTTGGCCGCCGGAAACGACGATACCGGACGGACAAGATAAGCCGTCGGTTATAATATTAAACCGCCGGTAAGTACCGGCGGTTACCGACGGCCGCCGGCGGTTCTACGATGGACACCCGACGGTTTAAACCGTCGGTAATACCGATGGCTATAACCGCCATCCATCGCCGGTAAAGTACCGGCGGTCTAACGACGCCGTCCGGCGGTCTACGAACCAGACGACGCCAGTTTTAAACCGCCGGAAAACCGCCGGTTACATGACCGGCGGCTTACCGGCGGTCCAACCGCCGGAAAACCGACGGTTTAAATTCCGGTGGTTACCGGCGGCAGGAGCCGCCGGAAAACCGCCGCAACAATAAACCGCCGGTAAAACGCCGTCGGAAATGGTTTCCTACGCCAATTTTTCCGACGGCTTACAAACCGCCGTGAGACCGCCGGTAACATTCAAAACCGCCGGTAAATCTAGACTAACCGCCGGAAAAAACCGCCGGTTTTCAGCGTTTTTCCTGTAGTGCATGAACCGAACCCTCTCTTACTCCGACTTTGCTTGAATCGCAATCAATTGTGCGCAATCAGTCACCGGCTTGCAAGTCTCTTTATCTTTTTTGCGCAATCACGATAATTTCGTAATCCTATTGCTCCTTTCGATTCTCCCACTATGTGCTATCTATCTTGCCATTTAAGGAGGTAAAGGAAACTTAGTGCATCAAATTTTTCCTCTCACTCTTGCAGCAATCGTCGAACCTCTCCCATACCCTTCCTCCTTGTTTCTCTCTCGCAAACAATAGCCGTCGAGCACCCTCTCCTACTTCTTCCTTGGTCACAATCTCTACTCCCGACAATAGTTTTTGGCGAATGTATCCAAATCTTCTCTTATTCTTTAGTAAGTTCATTTCCCTCTCCTCCTCTCTTTCATCTTCTTATAGTTTTAGTCACCAAATTAAATAGTTGTTTATTTATAGTGAGAATTTAGTTTTGATTCGTATTGATTTTGTACCGCCTTGATAGTTTATTTTCTACTTTTCATTCTATTTATAATTATATTGGCTTGTATAACAATTTTTGTTATTTGGACGTATTGATTATTTAAACTTATATTAATGAATTAACTCATTATTTCAATTTGTGTTTACTATAATACATACATACATATATCAACAGAACATGAACATTCCAAGAAAATAATGAACCTACTTGTTTTCAACGATTTTTGTTCTCCTCTTAACTTTTTCTTAGCTCCCTCTTATTGCTAAAACATTTGCTTTTCATGCAGTCAACCCAACGAATGATATTATGAAGAAATAAATAAAGAAGAATATTGATGCATCTATAAAAATATATTTAATATGTTCATGAATTAAAAAAGCGTTAAGAAATATTTCGATCTTATAAATAGCATTGCAAACAAGAAATAAATGTTTTATTAATTGCAATATACTTGTACATGCCCTTGGAAAGGAACTTTTATTATATCCAGTGAACGTACGCAGAGGAAGGTTCGATTTTAGGCAAAAAAGCGACTGAAAACTCGGTACAAGCGCGAAAAACTCGGTACAGACATTTTTTTGCCTAAAACCGAACCTTCCTCTGCGTACGTTCACTGGATATAATAAAAGTTCCTGTGGAAAGAGGGACATGTAGAGGGAGCGAAGAATATATTGGACAAGATGCCTGTTAGATCCAAATATAGATGCAAATTTAATAAAAAAAAAAAACTATTTTTTACTGATGGAAATTGTCGGAGAAGAGATTTATCAAAATGGAGAGATGCAACTATTCGGCATTATACCATGAAACAAAAATTAAGTTTGAATATAAAATGAATGAAAAAAAAAAAGCAAAAAATTAACAGGAATGTAAGCACCTCAAAAATAATATAGTAGGACCTGATTTCAGGATATGGGTCTGTGTATTGTTGCGTGAAGAAGTCTAGTCGAGGAGGTCCTTGGCAGATATATTAGTAGCTTGGCTCTACTCCTATTGGGAACAAAGGTCATAAGAGAAATTTGTAACCCACCGTTGCTTAGCTTGGTTAGTGGGCCAGTATGGTTGGGAATCCCCCAACTCATGCTCAAATCCCCTCGAGGGATAGCGCCTCTTAAGTGGGGTCCAATCAAGTGCGGGCTAGGAGATTAATGGGGTGGGTGCCTCTTGTAAGTCAGTCGGGAATTAGTCATGCCGTTAAACGGCCTTTCGGAGGTAGCAACGGGTGGATACCCGTTCTTCTTAAAAAAAAAAAGAATTTGTAATTCGTTTTGGTAGAAGATGAGAAGTCAAGTAAAACACTCATGGCTACATTCGGAAATAGGACAAGATGTTTTCCGATCAACGGCCACTTGCGCAGCTTGATTTTGTTCATGATGTGATGCGAAATTTTCTCCAAATCTTTTGCAGTCCACTATGCTCTACCCTTTTGCACTGTGAATTTTTTGTGTCCTTGTCCGCTAACCCTTTTGCACTGTGAAATTTTCACACGTGTAGGTTGTCTTTTGACGTCCAAGGGAAGAAGAGGGTCGAAGATACGTTGTAAGGCTTCGTGCAGACGTCCGGGGGTAAGTTGGAGATTTCGCATGTGTAGAACATGGACCGGGACCGCTTGTGAAATGGCTATCAAATGTATTTTATGAAAGCAATTCTTCTAAACAAATTAACTTTTATTATTTTTTAGTTCGGAAACTAAAGAAGTATTTTAAACGGACAACCAAATGAGGTTCCTAATATACAAGTTATGTACAATAAACCATGCCCATAAAGCCCCACTTGCTCTTGGCTTACTCCTTCACGTTCTCCAAAGAAGAGCTTTGAAGATCTATTTTCATGGCGACTTTTCTTCTCCTGTTATACTCTTTGCTATATCTTCATCATTTTGCTTCTTTATAAGTCGCCAAAAATTATTTTGATCAGGCATGAATCTCGATGCATATATGAATCGGATATCTCAAATATTAAATTAGGATCATCTAAATTTTGATTTTAGAAAACTTTTACTTAAATTGAATGTATCGATGATAAGAACCCAAAAACTCAAAAATCAGTTCAATCTTGGCCTAAATAGGTCAAAATTAAGGGACCAAAGCATATTTCAAAGCTTTAGTGCAATACTTGGATAATCAAATGACATCCAAATATAACATTGTTGCGTCCAGGAGTATTCGCGGCGGTAGAGAAATATTATATTTAACGTCTTAGCATTGTACGAAGATCTGGCACGCAAGCAGATAAGGAGAGAGGGTCTAGCATTTATGAGACACCAAGATTTTTACGTGGAAAACCCCTGTAAAAGGGGGAAAAACCACGGGGCCTAGCCCAGTTTGAACGAATCCACTAGTATTTGCAGTCGATTACAAATGAGACCCTTCCTTGGGAAAAGGCCTTAGCATGATGTACATCTTATGGAGTACATTACATGATGTAAATACAAAGATCTACTATCGACGTATTCGCTTGGTCAGAAGGACCATAGTCTGACGACGAAGATCAGTAGGACAGCGTCAGGTAGAAGTCCAGCAATGAAAAGAAATGCATCTTCGCATAGACGTCCAGCGAAGTCCGATAATCGGTAGAAGTCCGGCATCGGGTAGAAACTTGGCGAAGAGTGAAGGTCCGACGTCGGGCAGAAGTCCGACGTCTTTGGTGGCAGAGGAGAACTCCGTCTTCACTTGGGCGGAGTTTCGGCGTCAGGAGGGAACTCTCTTCTAAATTGGGAAGAATTTCAGCATCTCATGGAAGTTGTACAGAATTCCTGCGTTCTCCCGAAAATCCGGCAGAGTTCCGGTGTCTTCAGGCGGCAGGAAGAGCTCCGGCGGTGGTCGAGGAGGTGAGGAATCTCCTTTTCCCCTTTCTCCTCCTCTTCTTCTCTCTCTTCACTTGAG